TAAACGACACATCATCTCCTGTCCCATATTTTTCGTCTCAGTACCTTCAGAAGGTACCGCAAAAGCTCTCACTGTGGACCTTGTGAGGCTGAATACTCTAAGAGGCCGGTAACAAAAGCCCTTTTTTAATCCCTGAAAGGTGCGACGAGCACCCCCGTCCTTTTTACATGGGAGTCCCCCGGGGACTCAAACGCATCGACGAACATCGTTTTTTCATATTTAAAAGTGTAGTACCCTACTATGCGGTTCAGTCTACCAAGAGTATGGAACAAAAACGTTATCAGTGAATCTTTCTCACATTCCATTTCAGTACGTAAAAGCGATATATTTTATCGAATAGCGTTGAGGTATTTTCCAACATTTCTTTCATTTTATACAGCTCCATTGTTGGCATGACTCGGCATCATTGACTCAGCAACATTGTTAGCACGTGGGAAAGTTTCATTCAATTCTGAACCTGGTAGGATTGGAATCCATGATCTTCCGTTCGCTTTCTACCGAGTGCAGAAGACCATGGGTTCAACTCCCATCGGGCATTCAAATTTTCCTCTTTTTTGTCCCCGTGCATGACAAGCTAAATACAGTTACTTTCTACAATATGACCAACCTTAACATTATCGATAACATTAGCCATATTATCTTCTTAAGACTTGTACCTTTCAGCAATGGTGAAATGTCGATTAAAGGTGGCGCGTGTTTTCCAACCGATCTTGAAATTACTGTCAAAACAAAATAAAAGTGTCAGACGGAGAAAAGCTTAGGGTCAACTTGCGAGATGCGATTGATTTGAGCGAGAGAGGATAAGAGAGAGTTAATCCTTTATACGGATGTTATACTCAGTATACCCCTCTCAAGCTCTTTTTAGATCACTTCCGGTTTAGGAAATCCCTGGAGGGTCTAAATGTAGCCAATCCCGTAAAGCCGATTTTGCTCACGTGTAAAGCCCATCATCCTTCACGAAAACATCCACGCGACGCGCGTGGTAAAATCGGCGGAGAAACTGAGTGCCATGTCTAAAAATAACTCGAAAGGGATTACCTTGCTATGCGTGTGAATAACTCTTCCTTTATACTCTCTTGATTTGAGATAATTAATATAATAATTTTTCATACCTGAAAACATCGTTGGTAATCAGATACTCGAAGGGCAAACAGCAGGGACGTTTCCCTAAAATGAAAATAATAAAGCAAATAGAGAAAAACGAAATTACAATGTTTAAAAATACTGTAGTTGTAGTCAGGCATAGTAATAAAATCTTAAAAATTGTTGTCACTGACTTAAAAATCTTAAAAATAGACGTTTCGGCTAAAATACTATAACCTTCTTCAGTGATGAAATGAATGTTAACGGCGTCTAAATGTAAATGAGATGTTTATAAGAATGTGACGAACTCGCTAGGGATTAATTTAGCATTTTGT